ATTTATCTGCTGAACGACTTCTTCATTTAATAAATGTTTACGCCAAGAACGATTTCTAAAATCGTTTACACCAAGAACGACTTGTGTGTAATTTGAAAATTGTTCTTACCAAGAACGATTTTAAGTGTAGCATATTAGTAAATACTTTTAAAAATACAGCATATTAGTTTATAATTTTACTTTTTGTAGTATTTTGATAAAAAGGCCTGTCGTGTAGCATTTGTTCGATTTGATAAGAAATCAAGTATTGGGCATGAACCTTTTATGCCTGTGACCAAAATAGTAATAATAATAATAATTTAGTCCTGTAACTTAATTGCTACAATTAAAAATTTACAATCAAAGCATAATTTTTTTTGGTTACATATTGTTTGGTATGAGAAAAATAAAAAGAAGAGTGAAATGACAGAAAATTTTATCAAGCTCTATTTAAAAAATTAAAAAAATAGGGATTTTTAAATTTTAATCCAATATAGACATTGTAGCCTCATGGGAGCATTGTCAAGGATTCTTATTTTTGCATGTAAAATTAGCAGAGATTCGTATGTGAAAGAGTGAACAGAAAAAAGTAAAATCGTTCTTGGCGTGAACGATTTCTGAAATCGTTCATGCCAAGAACGACTTGTGTGTAATTTTAAAATCGTCCTTCCCAAGAACGATTTTAAATGCAGCATATTAATAAATAGTTTCAAAAGTGTAGTATTTTGGTATATAATTTTACTGTTTATCATATATTGGTAAAAAAGCCACCAAGTGAAAAGCGAAGACCGTGGGTTGGCCGCTTTTGAGCGCTCTGTGGGGCTGATGGCAATATTGTAAATAAGCGGGAACATCAAGCCCTCAATGTTAATCTAACTGTTTTTTTTTTTGGCCAACAAGTTAATCTCACTGTTATAAACCATATTCAGATTGCAAATCCATAATTCCATATTACACATTTCATTAATCTTTTTTTTTATTTTATATTATGAGATATAAAATGTATAAAAAAATAAAGTTATTTATAAGTAAAGTGATTTATTGTAGAATCTTTATGTTATATATATATATATATATATATGGACTCACTGATAAATAAGAATATGATTTTTTTTTTTTGAGTTGGCGAACACTAAAATGTTTGCAGGCTGAAGTGTGACATTAGCAGTGACTTGCTCGACAAAAATATGAATTTAAATATATATCCATTGATATTAATCAATTTATTAATCTATATAATTTAAAAAATATTACTAAGTTATATTATTTATAAATCATACATACTAAATAATACTCCTTCTATCATTAATATAAGATCTATTTAACTAATTTGATTATATTAAGGAAGTTAGGTAAGTTAATTAATTATAAGAAATATAACATGTTTTTCCTAAAACATCATAATCATCTTCCTTTATATCCTCTCCTTCTTCTAATTGATTATAATTAAGAGAGTATCAATAGGAGTAATTTAGAAAAAAAATTGATAAGTATAAGAAATAGATCTTATATTTAAGGTCAAAATTAACTTAACAATTAGGTCATATATTAAGGACCAAAAGAGTATATAAACATAAGGACTTTTATTATTAATAACAGTCTAATAGAGTTTAAAAATGTTATCTATCCAAACTTTGTTATTAAGCAAAGTATACATGTCGAGATTTAATTAGAGAATTGGATCTAATAAATATGAGCAAAGGGATCTAAGTTTTATCCATAATATAACTTATTGTTCATAAATGCGCAGAACTTACAATAATTAATATTAATTTTAATGTCAAATTGGTGATAACCTAATGTGGAAGTATGTATTTATTGATATAAATGCTATATTTTATCTTCTGCTTCATATAATCTTTCTCAAATATAATTATAATTGATAACTTTGCAATCGTTATTTATATTTCAATGTTTTGGTAGCCTTCAGAAGGATGAAGGAACAAAGCAATTTACTTGTACTAACTCTTTCTTCCTTTCCCTTTTTTAATCCGAATAGTAAAAATATTCTGCATTAGAATTAGCATGTTCTTAACTACTATCTCTAGTCACTAGTTATGAGTTAGATTTAGTGTTAAATATAAGAATTCAGCTTACTTTATCTCGCATTCTTCTTAAAATATTCATATTGATTATAAAAGATTCCCATTAAAGAGTATTTTAATACACAAGATCAGAGATACATTGCAAAGTTGTTTTATATTCAGGACCGGAGGAATAGTTTAGAGAAATCAACACACATTTGTGACAAATAACTAACTTAACTAATTTTCTTAATATCATTAAATTAGTTATCTAACTCTATTACTATAAGGACAGGAGGTATTATTAACTTTTTAGAGATTTTGCTTACTTAGAAGTTGAGCACATCTTTTAAAACTCAAATATTAATTTAGCACAATGAGAGAGTTAGCCCTTTTGATTGAACTCAATTTCAATTACTTATTACTTGCATAGTATGATAGGTTTAATTACTTCCATGTATTTATTGTTTTTTTTTAATCTCATCGATCCCCGGTTTTAATCATTTGATCATTTATAAAAGATTTGGAGAACTACACATTGATTCTAAATAAGAAAATTAATTATAAACAAGTTTCTACTACTTACGAATATATAACTTTGTCTTATAAATGTGACTAAGAAAATAAATTAATCAAATATAAGTGTATTATTAAAAATACTACTATAATAATCAATGTCGCGTCTAAAATGACAGATCAATAAAAACAAAATTTATAATTTAAACAAGAAATTTGTATTGTTCATAACATCAACTTACTTGAGTTGCATGATGTACCTCGGACATGTGCATGTGCCTACTTTTATAATAGAAAAGCCAATATTATAAGGAATAATATTTTAAACTGCACGCATATGTATAAGGGAAAATAACAGATAAAGAAGGTAAAATATCTGAAATTTCAATTTGGGAAGCTAAGGAAATGTAACGACAGAGAGGGAAGTCCTTCTAAAATTGTTTTTTGAAATTCAGTGAAATGACAAAAATACCCTTTGTTTTTTTTAAAAAAAAAACTCAGCCCCTCATTTGTGGTCGGCAGCCGACAGTCACAGCCGGCAACTGGGCGCCGGCCACCGGTGTGGTGGTTGCAGGTGGAGTTTGTTTGTAACAGCAAGAAGTGGTGGGGGTGGGATCTGATCCCATAACCCCTTGGCCATTTGGGGCAACAAAAATGCAGATGACCATTGGACCATCAAAGACTTTTTAACCTTATGATGCAAATAAAAATATAAGTTTAGCATGCACATAAATTAAAAATGACAATTTATTTGAAAATGACACATCTTTACTGAAAAATGACAAGTTTAAACGTGAGATTAACAATGTGTCTTTTCCTGATACATAACAAAAACTAGCATGTACATTAATTAAAAATGACCATAATTTATTTGAAAATGTAAGTCTTTACTACAAAATGACAAATCTAAATTTGAGACTAACAATGTGTCTTTTCCTGATACATAACAAGAAATAACATGTATATTCCCAAATAAATTGTTGTCATTTTCTACTAAAAACGTGTCATTTTCAAATAAATTATGGTCATTTTTAATTAATGTACATGTTATTTCTTGTAATGTATCAGCAAAAGACACATTGTTAATCTCAAGTTTAGACTTGTCATTTTTTAATAAAGACGTGTCATTTTCAAATAAATTATGGTTATTTTTCATTAATGTATATGCTACTTCTTATGTATCAGAAAAAGTTGCTTTGTTAATATCAAATTTAGACTTGTTATTTCTCAATTAAGACTTGTCATCCTCAGGTAAATTGTTGTCACAGGTTGGAGTCACAGTAAAAGAGTCAAATTATATTTTTATTTGCATTATAAAATTAAGAAATCTTTGATGGTCCAATGGTCATTTATCTTTTTGTTTGGGCCAAGGGGTTATGGGATCAAATCCCACCCCTACCACTTCTTGCAATATTCTCCCATGAAAAAAAAAAAAGAACTATTACAAGCAAACTCCACCGGCAGTCACCACACAGGTGGCCGGTGGCTGGCAGCGGCTGCCGGCCGCCGACCACCGGTGAGGGATTGGGTTTTTTTAAAAAAAATAAAAACAAAGGGTATTTTTATCATTTTACTAAATTTCAAAATTCTAATTTGAAAAAAATTTCCTTCTCTGTCATTACATTTTCTTAGCTTCCCAAATTGGCATTTCATATTTTCAAACTTCTTTATATGTCATTTTCCCTATGTACAAGGTAGCTGAAAAATAATATCTACATAAAGTATGAAATAAATTCCATGTATATAATTCGGTGCCTAAAAAAAAAAAAGAAATTACAAGTGTATAATTAATATAGCATAAACATTTTAACATATCCATTGCTTTAGCATACAAAACCTAGCTTTCTTTGATTCTTTCTATATCCATGCTTTGAAAAAGAAATTACAAGTGTATAATTAATATAGCATAAACATTTTAACATATCCATTGCTTTAGCATACAAAACCTAGCTTTCTTTGATTCTTTCTATATCCATGCTTTGACTCTGCAAATGCTGTTATATGATCAACTAATACTTCATTCAACCCTTAATATAAGATCTAAATAACTAATTTAAAAAAATTAAAAAAATAACTAAATTACTTAATTATAATATATATTACATTATTACTTGATCCTTTTATTATACTTATATGTATTATTAAATTATATGTAAATTTATAAAAATGATAAGCAGAAAAAAATGGTAAATAAATATATATTTGTAATTTATTAACTATCTTAATCTATTGAATCTTATATTAACAACCGGACATAGTATATTTTAACCAACTGTATTCTAATTACAAGTTTAGCTGATAAAAATTATCTTTTAAAAAATTCCCTTTCTACCTGAGCACATCTAATCTAAAGCTGCTATTTTAAGCATAATTATCATCACATGATTACCCCACCTTTACAGTAAACCAAATGGGATTCAAGATAGATATAAGCTGTAGAGAACTTCAAACCAATGTTATCATGAGCAGTGATTATCAGAATAAATATGAACCAAAATTGAATATTCTCAATAACAAAATCAATATCCTATTATAATACAAAATTTTCTTTTGATGCTACGTTACTATATTTCTATCTCATACTTCCTCTATTAAAAAAAATGGAAAAATAGATATTTCAACAGCGAGGTCAGGTGGTGGAAGGTTGGTAAAGTTGAACCCAAGCATATTCTTCTTTGTAAGCCACACCTGAGTCACAGGATGCTTCACACGTGTACACAACAATTGATGCCCAATCTATAGTCCACTTCATTGTCGACACCTAAATAATAGAGTAGCTGTGGCAGAATCTGGCACCAACGACATTTTAAATCTGTAACTACTAGAACAAGAATAACAAATAGTACTCCTTCCGTCCTCAATACAGGAGCTAACTTGAGAGTTAGTCTTGGTCTTACATATAAAATCTTAATCTATTTTTTTTATATTTATTATTTTTCTCCAAACTAATTTACTTGATATATAATATAGGGAAAACCATATTGAAGGTACTTATACTTTCTCTCAATTTTTAATTTGGTACCTATGTTTTTTTCTCTTTAATTAAACATTTAATTTTATCTTTTTAGCAACATTAGCTCTTATAACTTTGTTCTATTGATATTTTTAGTCTCTACATAAGGATTAATGATGTTAATAGAGAAAAAATAAAGATTTAGTTAAGAACAAAAAATACATAGGTACCAAATTGAAAATTGAAAAAAAGTATAAGTGCCTCTAATATGGTTTTCCCTATAATATAATATACCTCCAGGATATTATAAGGAAGATTAAATCACATTTGTTTTAATTAACTAATTTATTTAACTCTCTTGATCTATCTAAGTTGATCAAATAAGGACCTAAGGACTATATTCATTGACTTTCTATCAATGAATCCTCAAAAATCTTACCTGAAACTCACAACACGTTGAACCACCACAGTAATTGCATTTAGGGATATCAGCTTTAGACGGTCGACCGCTTGAAACAGGCCATATGGGCCTTGCATTAGTATTTCGATAATACCTGTGGTCACCAGAATAAATAAGCCATTAAAAATGCAATAAAAAAAGGGTATTACAATGAAAAGGGGCAAGACTCGCCAAATTTTTCTAAGACGGGTAAAACACATCCACGTTTGTCATCAAACCTTTTATTGCCACTACATGTGGTATTGACAGGTGGAGACATTTTAAATTGGGTAATCCAAGTTTCTAACACTGTGACCCGAACATGCATGTGAACAATAGTCAGATAATGTATTGCAGCATAGTCACAACCATCACTCTGTTCACAATACAAGTATCATACATGCTAGGATAGACCAGTCAGGTGGGGGGGGGGGGGGGAACTCTTTTTCAGGCTTATCGGTCACACCAAGACCCAGTATAACCTGTTTGCCAGACATTTCTGCGGTGCTGGAAGCACAATTATCCAACAGAATTTCAACCAGTCAAGCAATAATCACCTCAATGTTCAGGGGCTGAATTAATACGCTCCTGGACGCAGACCCAACTCTTTTTGTCATCATCACCCTGTTTACAGGCAAAAAAAAAAAAACTTAGCAAACAACATAGCTGCATATAAACTATACCGTCAATGACAGGTGAATTTGGGGCAATACCTGAAAGTTCTCGAATTCATTGTGTCGTCAATTCCGTTCTTTGATATCAAAGAACTAGTTGAAGCATTGCCCTCAGAAATGTCAGGGTTATTGTTATCACTTTCGTCTTCAATAATGATCTCAAATTCGGGCCACAGAGTGTTGCTAGCATCTGCATTGTAAAGAACGACTCTGAGTTTGAACTGGCAACAATGCAAAATATTTACCTCCATAAAAAGAGAGAGAAACCTTCAAGATTACAACCTAAACCCCTCAATCAATATCCATTTTATTTCAGTGATAAACAGCGGAGGCTGATAAGGATGCAAATATTTACCTCCATAAAATGAGAGGACTTTGTTAAATTACCTGCCAAAATGATGTTATATCTATCAAGGTGACAAATCTTCACCTGTCAGTTTCTATGCACAACTAATTTAATATTAGTTTAATACATACTACCTTCCATCCTAAATATAATATCTAGTATATAGTACAAATTGTACTATAAACTAGATTATATATTTATGACCGGAGAAATTATTTCATAAACAGAACTCAGATTTGCCTCCTTAATATTTTGGAATTCATGATTTAATAAAGCCAACTATTATGCTAACCAGTCATAACACGTCTTTTGTTTAATTATAGTTAAATACAAATTGATTGTTCCCTTATTTTATATTTTATTATAAATTATTGGTTATATTCATTAATTTTATAAGAAGCAAAGGAGTTTCTCAAAATTATTATTATTTGAAATAATGTTTAATATTTATAAAACATATGATATTTTCAAAATTATGATATTATTGCTCTGTAACCAAAACTTATATGTATATAAATAAGAAAATAAAAATCCTACAAGAAATATTACAATTCAAGGAGAAATACTAAAAATACATGTAACATGAAATGCAAAAAAGATGAACTAATGAATTGTTTCTATTGTCGAACTATTGAATATAGCATATCTCCTAAAAATTTATAACATCGAAAAATCTTTGTTGGATGCCAACTTTAGCATCATACCATATAGTTCAAAGCCTGGCAATTCACCACAGGTCACATGGTAGCTAGTACTCCCTTTATTTCTTATTATAAGAGACAAATAATCAAATTACATTGATAAAAAAAACAGTTAAAATTAATTGAGGACAATTAATGTGTAAAAAGTATAATATTTTTTCCAACAATTACCCTATTAATAAGGAGAGAGAGTATGAGAGAGGACAATTAAATTATTAAAAGAAAGAGAAGTGGGAGGAAGAGAGAGTATGAGTTGGAAACAAAATAAATAGGGGTAAAATAGGAAATCAATACAAAAAAATAGAGACAACTTTTAAGTGTCTCTTATATATGAGAACATGCCATAAACATCAAATATCTCTTATAATAATGAACGGAGGGAGTATAATAATTAAAAATTTTAATAATTCTTAATTACCAACAGAATTAATATGTTAGATAAATATTAGGTAAAATATTATTATTTGATTTTAAATTGTTACTGTAGCTTGATTAATTTATAATATTATTTAATTTGAAGGAAGCCGCAAAACGAAATGCCAATAATAAAATGATGATCATTGAAAAACCTTGAGAAGTGTGAATTAGGAAAAGAGAGTTAATGGGCATTAAATGAATTGCAAGGATTATAACTTATAAACTGTGATGTCAAAATGCGCGAATCGGGAAGTCCTTTTTGCTTCTAGCTGCCTTATGGGACAGTTGCTTCGATATCTGTTTTTCGTGAAAATGACATATAAGGCCCGAATGTTTGGCTGAATCTCATATTCAGAATAATGAAATGTGGCAGCATAACTATTTTCCTTTACAAAATTAAAATCATTCCTAAGTTTGGTTGGGATGAAAAAATAAAATTAAACAATAATATAAATTCAAAAATGAAAAGGGAACATTTGAGAAAGGGTAAAGAGGCATGGGAAATTGAGAAGTGATGAAATTCAAATTATCTTTTTATTTCTTAATTTTATGATGTGTCTTTTGCAATCATCTAACTCTAATATCATAAAAAAATATTGACAGTGAAATTTGACATGTTTAAAAAATATTTTAAATACTAATATAATAAGTTTGTTGTTTAAAAGTCATAATGATTGACACAAAATATTATCGTTTAAGATTAATGGTGTTACAATTAAAAAACTGAAAAGATATTTTATAAAATTAAAAGATTAAATTAAAATTTCATATGAAGTTAGAAAATTAAATATGTATTTTTACCCGATTTAAATGATAAATTCTTCAAATTTAATAATAACGTGGTACCAGAATTAATTATCACTACAATTTTACAATTAATATCATATGAACATCTTTTATTTATTTGGAAAAAAAATAAATATATGGATTATAATTGGCAATTTAGCTTTTTGGGTGAGGAAGCGGCAAGAAGGAATATGTGCTGACCAAGTAAAAAGCGAAGACAGTGGGTTGGCAGCTTTTGAGCGCGCCATGGGGGTGATGGCAGTATTATAAATAAGTCCGAACATCAAACCCTCAATGTTAATCTCACTGTCCTTTTTTTTTTTTTGGGCCAACGAGCTAATCTCACTGTTCTCATTTGTAAACCATATTCAGATTGCAAATCCATAATCTCACTGTCCGAACATCTTTTTTAATTATTTTATATTATGCTATGTAAAATGTATTAAAAAAATGAAATTATCTATATCTTATAAGTAATACGATTTACTGTAGACTTTGTGTAAAATATGAGACCACAATTTTATTTATAAAAAATGATTCTTGCTGATAATATTAAATTTTCATCATAGACAGAAAATATTATTATTAATAACTGTCTGATAGAATTTTAAAATGTTGTCTATCCAAACTGTGTTATTAAGAAAAGTATACATGACAAGATTTAATCGGATAATTGGATCTAATAAATATGAGTGAATGGATCTAAATCTTGGCCCGGCTTGACCCAGTAAATATACCGCTAGGAAGGTCATGTATGTCTGACATATGTGGAGAGCCTTTACAATTTCTTTTTCAGATAGGATTACTTTTGAAATTGTAGTTTTATGTTTATTTAACGTTGTTGCCAGGCCAGGCCTGTTTATAAACAGATAAAACCGTCAAGTCATAAATCAGTTTAAGATGAGATAAATGGAGGGAAGGCAGGAAAATAAAAAACTTCGATGAGTTCAATTTAAAATAAAAGTTTTAATTTTTTTTTTTACTCTTTCACTTGTAATTTTTTTACTCTTTTATTTTACGTATTTTATTTATTAAAATCTTATAATCATACTCTTCTATTTTTTTGAATAAAAAATTGAACTCTTGAATTTCTACTCTTCACCTATCCACTACTCTTATACCCAAAAAAATATTACTGCAACTCTAAAATTTGTTAAGGAAAAACTAAGGGTTTATTTAGCACAACGGTGAAAATTTCCCATAAACTCATTTTACGTAAATAGAAATAAAACTCCCCTTATATATTATATATAGTTATCTTTTATTTCAT